ACTTAACGGCTAATCTTTAGTAAAAGTAAAAACTTTATAATTTTTACGATCTTATATTTAATAGATTTTGTCTACAAAACTCAGATATAAAAAAAACCATCATATCTATTTATTCATTAATCTACCTTTATAATTATTAACTATGCTATTAAATTTTACAGCCACGATTTATACACCTACAAGATTTAATATATGGTTTTAATTTATTTTATACTGATTAAAAATTATTATAATATCAATTCAAACTATAGCATAGCATTTAATCAGGAATTATACAAAAATAATAGCTTTGTATTTAATCAATAATACAGTTTTTAATTAAAAACTATTCAAAAATTATAATTCTGTATTTAACAATATATCATCATTTTTAATTAAAAATTATACAAAAACAATGGCTTTGCATTTAAACAATAGTTTCACATCTTAACAATTGCTTCGCATCCAAAAAATGGTTTTACATCTTAACTATGATAAATTTTTAATCAAAAAAAAATGATTCCAAAAATAATAACTTTACATCAAAACAATAACATAGCCTTTAAGGCTTTATCATTTACCGGTGGCTTTATTCTTTATAGAAGGCTTTAACTTTTATCAGAAAATTTGCTATCTATAAGAAATTTGTCTTTATAGAGGTTTCGCAGGTTTTACAAGTTTCGCAGGTTTTGCAGGTTTTGTCAGTTTCACCAGAGGTTTTGTCATTTGAGGGGTAGGTTTCATCTTTTGTCATTTTGCAAAAAGGTTTTGTCTAACAACATTACATTGGCTAGAGCACTATAGCTTAGTGATCTAAGCACCTACCCCACAGCTGAGGTTTTTGGTTCAAGTCCTACTTGACATGGTTTCTAAGAATATTTAAATGCAAAACCCTGTGAAAGTCAATGAAGTATGCAATTGGTTTAGAAATTTCTGGAAGGAGATCCATTATGGAAAAGAAGGTACTATGTGTAATAGCAGTGTTACAAAAGGTTTGACTACAGAAATAAATTCTGCAGGTAGCAAGATAGTACCAACAACCCTAAGGCAGTTTTGGGATCTTGATTTGGAAGATAATACAACTGCAGTACAAACTGGAGTGGTGGGAAAAGTGGCAGACATAAAGGGATCTGTGGTAAATAATTAGTCTAACCAAATAAAAAACACCTCTAGCAACTTATACTAATATAAAGTACTTAGTATAAAAAGGTACTACAGAATATTTATATATATATAAAAGATTTGTATATTGTCAATATAAGTTGTATCCAATTAGAAGTCTTTGATAAACACAAGATTAATATAGATATATTAATTTTAAAATATCAACTAATATAGCTATAAGCTAGTGTCACAGGTTAATAGAACTCTTTAGTTACTAACAACCTAGCTCAAAAGTAGGCACTTCTCCAACTGACAACCACTTCAACACTTCAATTAGAATAAGTATTTTATTATTACTTTCTCAATGATTTATGTTTGCAAGTAATAATTATTATTAACTTTATTTTGCTTGTCTCTTTAAATACAAATTTTAACTATCATTAATTATCTAATTATTGATCACACTATTTTGACTTTTTAATTATTCATTACTAATTACACTATTGTCTATAAACTCTATTACAATATTATTCATGCACCACATATTAATTCTGCATATTGTTTTCTTGAATAATTGATAACTGATTCTGATACTGGTCAATTATCACATGATTACGTGATGATCGATCAATTCGAAACTACTTCACGAACTAATTACCTGAATTCTGGTTTTTATTTTGATACAAGCTAGATCTCCCAGAACTTTGTACCTAAAGTTTCTACTTTTATAAAATCTCAATTATCTAATACAAACACACATACTTCTATCATAACAACCATCCACATATATACACAATTTTCACAAATCTAAATATACTAACAAATATCATACTTTCAAGCATAGTTCATCTCTTTACTCCAGTATTTCTATCTATACTGCCAACTGTCACATAATTGTATCTTATTTCAGTATTTTTATAACTGACTATTACTTAATTCTATCTTATCTTGGTATTTATACCAACTGCTCATAATTCGATCTCACATTTACAATTCTGCTTGATCAACACATAAATTATGTGAGTCATGTGCTTGTGACAATTTCTTTGAACCTTCTTAAAGACAAATATTGATCCTTTGTCATTCAAATTTTTTTTTTGTTACATTTTTCACATTATAAATATTATATTATAGCATCCTAGATATTAATTAATGCTTTTTTTCGATCAAATACATATCTTGTTAGCAATATATTGCATCTATTGCCTATTTATTTTTGACTATTCACTTTGCTACAGCATGCAGCATTCTATTAACTTTGACTAACTCATTTCTCAAGATTCTTGTTACTATAAAGCTTCAGAGTACTTAACATTCTAGCTTTGGTATCTTCATGTTAACAAATCAACCTATTTAACCTTACAAAACTTTCTACATAGTCACAGCTTTTAATATTCTAATTAACACATGCACCTGATTCAATTGATCTATAGATATATTTCTTACTCTAATAGTCTTCTCATATTTATTACCAAATCTAGAAATACCTATTTCATTTTTATAGCAATTTTCAGAATTGTTTGCTTCATAATTTTGTTTAGATGAGTCTTCAGATTTTTTATCACCCATTTCATCATCATTTACTGAACTAACCTTTACATTCTTTCTTTCAATTTTGTCTATTTCCACTTCACCACTTGTTTATTGATTATCTGTTCCTCTGTATTATCTATTTCTCATTTATTACTATTTGCTTCTTTTTTCATCATCTGATCTTTATTAACAACAAAATACCATTCAAATAGGTTGCAAACAGATATCTTAGACTTTCATTCATCTTTTTCAATGACTATTCTATTTTGGTAATATTGTCCAATGCTATATGTTTTAGTGAAGTCTTCCATCTCTATAGATTTTTAGTGATTAATAGATTTTTTACACTTATTTAAGTCAGGTACGTTTTTAATTTTTATTTCTTTTGTCTGTCTCTATCTATCTTTTATTTCACTAACTATATCTGTTACTCTTTTATTTATTTCATTATTATCAACTTGCTCAATGCCTTTCAATTTGCAATCCTCATATCCCATCCAATCATTTGTTACATAAACATAACTCGCTATATCAAATAGCCTTTGCTATAATTTGATCTATAACTTCATGCTTCTCTTATTTGTTTAACCTATGATATTTTATTTTTTGCAATATATAACACTACACACACCAATTTTATGTTATTATTCTATTCTCTATTTTTGGCATAGGCCTCATACTCCCAAAGAAAGTTTACCATCTCTATTGCATCTCCACCTTTGTAATATAGTTCTATACTTTTGGCATCAGGTTTCTTTGGTACCAGTGGATAAAAGCAATATAATAAACAACAGGTATATACAGTTAATCTATTGCTTCTATGATTCATTATAATATTCAGTTAGTAAAAAAAATTTTTTTTTTTAATGTCTTTACTCTGAGATTCTTATAAAGGTGCTTAATACACAAAATACTTTCATCTTTACTAACTTAACAAAATCTCTTTTATGCTTGGCAAGCTACTGAATAAATCTGCTCAGATTCTCATAGCACAGGTTAATAGAATTCTTTAGTTACTAACAATCTAGACAAAAGTAAGCACTTCTTCAACTAATAACCATTTTAATACTTTGATTTGAGTAAGTATTTTATTATTACTTTCTCAACAATTTATGTTTGCAAGTAATAATTACTATTAACTT